ATGAGTTAATGAACATAAAGTGCTTACAACAATACCTCTTCAACAACAACCACAGCAACAATAATAACTGTTAACAGCCATTGAGTATTTTATACATGCCCAGCATCATGAAAAATGCTTTATACGTATTATCACACTCATATATTTCACATATTGGAAAAAAACAACTTTTTCCCCTCGGTGCAAAACATAAACAAAGCTGATTTTAAAGAAACAGAAGAAGTACCTCGCCTATTTTCTGTAAATGAAACTTACTTTTGTTTTAAAACTTCTCTTAGAGCATCTTTCTGTCCCATAGTGTACTGAGAAATAAAGATGTCATTTGCTGCAAAATAAAAACGCAAAAATATACTTTAGATTCCTGGAAATGTATTATATTTTGATAAGCTACTCAAAGAAAAAATTTTAATTAAAAAAATGTTTGGAAATTTAGCAATATGATATCTCAATTTAAAAAGACAAGAAACAAATTAAGTGACTTGAGTAATAATAGTCATAACTCGAGACTGTAAGAATAAAATTGTGTAGAAACACTTGGGGCCAAATTAGAGACATTTGTTCAAACTCTAATGAGAACACTGCTTAGCTGAAAACAAAACCAACTACTTTTAAAATGTTATTAAATACACTTTTTCAAAGCATATTTTTAATCTATTTATCTTACCAAAGCCTATTCAGCATTTATAATCAAGTATCAAATATCAAACTATGCAATAAGTTGGCAATAATAAAATCACCTTTACCATCACAAATCATTTTCTGGACTTCAGAGATTTCATTAGTAGCTTAACTTGGAAGGAAAAATGAATTAAAAATGAAAACAAGAAAAAACTGTAAGGCTGTTTAATAAATACCTTAAAAAAAAATCAATGAATATCTAAAACTCTAAAATTCTATCCTTACCAAAGAAATTCTTACACGTGTGCTAAGTCACTTCAATTGTGTCTGACTCTGTGTGACGCTATGAACTGTAGCCCACCAGGCTCCTCTGTCCATGGGATTCTCCAGGCAAGAATACTGGAGTGGGTTGCCATGCCCTGCTTCAGGGGATCTTCCTGACCCAGGGATTGAACCCACATCTCTATGTCTCCTGTACTAGCAGACACGCTCTTTACCACCAGCACCACCTTGGAAGCCCAAATTCTTACATATTACAACATAAATGAACCATGAAGACATACAAAGTGAAATAAATCAATCACTAAAGGACAAAACACTATATGATTCCACACATATGGAGGTATAATGGAATATATAGAGACAGGAAGCAGAATGGTGGGAAGGGGAATAGAGTTAGTATATAATGAGAATAGAGTTTTGGCTGGGGAAGATGAAAAGTTCTGGAGATGGACGGTGGTGATAGTTGCACAACATGAATATACCTAATGCCAGTTAAAAATGGTAAAAATGGTAAATTTTACAATATGGGTATTTTACCAAAAAAAAATTAATAAATCTGTCCTTTTACCTTTTTGTCTGTTGTTCTCTTCCATTTTATTCAAAGGCAACACTTGCACTGCAGCATCTTTAGAAAAATTCTTCAGGATATGAAAGGAAGAAATGAAAGGCATAAATCCACTTTATGATTCATTATTTATTAAGTACCATTTACTAGCCTATGTGACTACTGTGTCCTGGGAGGACACAACTATTTGTTTATTTATATACTTAATTCCAGCACCACCATGCTTAGGTACCTTGAAGCTACTCAAAGATTTGTTGAATGAGTAATGAGCTGTCAGACAGTGAATGAATGGGAAAATGAACAAGCAAGCATGGTCATGAAATTCGGATTGAAATCTCAATTTGCTACTTTCAGCACAGCAACCCATGTAACATTTCAATGGCTATAGTTAAACGTAAAAACATGATTCACTGTGAGACAAATGTAGTTTATAAGGATGTCCAATCCACAGCACTACACCAGAAATTAATTTTCACAGTATTCTTTGTCACTGAGCTATAATGTTGTCTCGTAAGACTTCTCTATAGACATGACAACTACTGCCAAACAGATTTCTGCTCACATGTGTACCCCAGGACTTCACTTCTAAAATTCTAGTCACTGCTAAGACACCATGACATTTTAAGTACTTGGTTCATTTAACATTGCTTTACCTTCCTCAGGCACACATTTCTCCCCCTGTTAAATCATTAAATAGAAAATAAAAAATAATAAACAAAAACTGATACAAGCTATCTGCTGATAATAGGTGTTAAATTCCTAAAAAAAGCCAATGAGACGAACAATACAGTGGAATGCATCTGGGAAATCAAAGAAGTCCCACAAAACAGTAAGAAAAAGCACAGCACACAAATATGTATTCACAAGAGAATAAATACGGGTGGCAATATAAATGAAAAAAATTTCCCCTTCACTAATAATAAAAGAAATACAAAATCAAACAATGTGATGCCTTTTTCACCTATCAAAACAGCAAACTTTATGTTTGTTTGTTTAATTTTAATGCTTCATATAAATGAAGATGGAGGGAAATCCACTAATTCTACTCATGACCTTGCTGGAGAATACATATTGATACAGTTTTTCTGGTGGCAATTTAGAAATATTACAAAAAATGTGCATATTCTTTTAGTTAATAATTTTACACCTAGAAATTAATATAAGAAAGTGAGCTCAGATACAAACCAGAATGTTCATTACCTGGTTGTACATAGTGTAAAAATTTCAGGGGAAAAAACCTCAATGTCAAATAATAGGAATATGAACATAAAAACTATGGTATATACATACACTGAAATTCTGTGAATTTATTAAAAGCTCCTAAGAAAAAAAATCAATGACATGCAACAACTTTAATATTACTTAGTTATAAAATAGTCCCATTTCATAAAATATACATACACATAGAAAAAAAACTCAAAATGTTAACAGTACTTGATTTTATATAATGGTGGAATTTCTTTTTTCCTTCTTTTTGAATTTTCTATAGTGATTTTAAGGTTTTGTTTTCTTTCTGCACATGTATAAGGATTTGCTCCTTATAGTAGGAAAAGATATCTCTTATCCTCCAGTAGTAGGAAGAAACAAGTATGAAGAGGAGCAAATCTTAATATGAGCAAATTGAACACAAACTTCTTTCATTTTCTCTTTAAAATAGCATGGTCAAGTCAATAGAGAATATAATCTTAGCCCTTATGAAATAAACACGTAATGCAAAAAGGCTGCAGTTTGTTTTCATGGTAAAATGATAAAGAACTAGGTTTGCTTTGCAGGTATATTTTATATTAGATAAATCTACACAAAATAAGCTGTTAGCCCATATTAAATCTAATGGAATCCTGCCCGATGATCTTCCAAAGATCACCCTTTTATGTTCTATTATACAATAATAACATATCCATACACTTGAGAAATTATTTAAATAATATAATTAAAAATACCATTAATCTTTAAAAATAAAGCCTCCTCAAAAAAGAAATAAAAAACATCAACCCAAAGGCTAGGCATTTATTCAGAGACCAAGTACAGCACATAATTATACCTTTTTGTGATGAATTGTTGACAAAGTTCATAAGTAAATAGCTTCAATACCATTTTTAGTTTACTTGTTAAATTCACAATATATAGCCAATATTATGGTAAGTGGTCAAAGTCTAATTAAATTGTGTGACCAAACATATTTATAAACAAATATTTTCAGCATTATAAATAAAAAATGATGTTAAGATGAGAATTTCATGTTATTAGCTTTTAAATACCTCTCAAAAAAAAAAAAAAAAAAAAGCCCACAAAAGGCTTTAGAATAGTTAGAATAAATTCACACTTCACTTTTTTTAAATTCTGTTGTTACAGCTCCTTTACCTTTACCTAGCAGTTTGTAAAAATATGTCTTTGGTAAGTGAACTTTAAATAAAAACAAGGCCTATTGCTAATCAAAATTTTAAAAAGCCTTATTTGACAATTCTTAAAATTTTAACATGAACATAATTAAGAATTCTTTTGCTTACACTTTCTGACACAGTGGGATTTTCTACTGGAGGCTGCTGATAATTTCTGGCAGAAGTTAAGTCTGATGAACCTAACAAAAAAAAAGAATCAATGTTAGTGAGTTTTAAATTAGAGTGTTTCCTTTAGAAACTGTATAAGCATAATTCAAGAACTATAAATTCCATATTAATGCAAGACCTAAACTGGAAGCCAATCTTCATGCAAAAAGCTTAAAAATGTACTTATATATATGCCGATGAAGGTTGTCACATCTGATATTTTGGAAAGTAAGGGCTCAGAACTGATAATCGAATGAGATAAGTAAAAAAAGCTATACAATGAAGTTACACTATTGAATTAGAACAAACTATGTGTGCAATCACTTGCCAAGAAGAAAACACACATGATATAAAAGCCTAATTAAACAGCAGGCCTAGGTTATGCTGAAACTGCCAAAAGTAGCACTATAAAAACTACTTTATTCTTTTCTTTTTTGCACTTATATTCATTAATCTGATTACCAGTGAAGTGGGTAAAGCAACATGTTATCTTTACTTCCAGGGAGCTCAGACAAGTGAATTGAATTGGATGGTGGATGCCATCAAAAGGCAGAAATTGTGCTTTTCTACGATTCCAAACTGTATAGCGTTATCCAAACAGAAGGTAAAAAGCCAGCCCTGCTGGTGAAAAGCACATCACACTAGTTAAGTGTGTCCATCACAGATATGGACAAGAATAGTGTGCCAAAAATATACACAAAGGAAAAATAAAATACGAAATTTTTTTTATTCATTCCATCTATTGAATATGATTTGATATAGACTGTACCCGCCTGGCCATTTTCCCAGGAAAAGGGGTCACTTTCCTAACGACTGTACAAGTGAGACATATCTTGTATTTAGGAATTTAAACATTAAAAATCCTCTCAGTTTTGAAACACACACACATAAAACGAAATGAAAATAAAGACTAAAGATTTACAAAATAGAAAACTGGTTGAAACTATTTGGAATCACATACCACATAACGTTCCATTCAAGCTCTTCCCAGTTCTAACAGGAAGACGTTTATTTGCAGACAACGCTGGAGGAACACGGGACAACTCATCTTTCAGCAAAGCCAAATTATCTCCTTGAGTTGGAGAAACTATCTCACGAAGTCTCCTCGCTGGTACTTTAACCTTTTTTTTCTTTTCCAGGCAAAACTCTGAGCCTTTCATATTACTGGTAACAAACCTAGTCCCACAGTTCTAAACAGAATTTTCTTCTGGGTCCATAAAACTTCAGAACAAAATTTTCACCGCTATGAGGATTTACGGGGGCCAGGGGTAGGGGAGAAAAAATGAAGGAGAAGGATGATAAAGAAAATGTGAATTTCACGTGATTTTGAAACATGCAATCATCAGCTTTTACATAATGCCTAAACAGACTATCCACAAAGCTAGAAATTTCAATCTGGCCTTTAACCCAGGATTGATATACCCATCAATCCCACTAGAACGTATTTACCCATTAATCCCACTCAGTCTATTAATGCACCACGCCAATGAATCTGAAAGTGAGGATGACAAGAGAACGGCCACATAAGCAATAATAATAACAACACAGAGCACTCCCCTAGAGTACTGCCGGAGAGACCGCAGTACAAAGGAAACCAGATGCGGATGCAATTTAAAATTTGAGAGGGTAGTCAAGCAGACAAAACGAAATGCTATTTTTTTCCCCAAAATCACCCACACAAGAAGCTTAATAGCTTTCTTTAACCAAAGAGCCTTACACACCCCTTCAGAAGCAATCATCAGACACCTAAATTCACCCTTCCAGGTCTCCCGAAAGCCCGGTAACTGCGGAGTCACAGGTCTAATCAGACAAGTTCAGTTGCCCGCTGGTCAACACCTACTTCCCTTTAAACACGCCCTTCAAACACAACACGCATGCGCGCCATGAAATAATCCAAATCCTCCAACCAAAAAGCTAAGGGTGCTTCTCCATCCCTCTCCGGGTGGAAACAAACTGCCGGCGTGAAACGCTTAAAACAGGTGTGAATTTTTTGTTTTATTAAAAGCAGTAGTAAGTACATTGCCCCACAAGATTTAAAGCTCTGAATAACACCCGAGTCTCATCCAGGATCTGAAGAACTCCCGACCTAGCTGGTTATATACCATTCTTGTTATTAGGGACTGTTTACAGTAATGCTCCTGGAGACCGTTAGGGACGCGGGATTAAGTAGTTTTACAAAAAGTTTCGACAGATTCGTGTTGATATTGGCGAGAAAGTCAGAAATATAGAATTTTTTCTAAGAAGAGAGTAAAAATTAATTATCTTGGTATTTAAAAATTCGTTTATGATACTTACTCTTTCCTCTAGAGTTTCCGGCATTATAACGAATCGGCGGCGAAGGGTATAAGAGCCATTTGACATCGCCATTCCCACGTGTTCTCTTTCATCCAGCGGCTGAGGCGCCCGCCCTGACCCAAACCCTCCGCCCCCCTCCCCAAGAGTCGACTGGCAACGCAGCCCCCCAGCCTCTTTTGGTGTCGGATGCGAGTCTATCCTTAAGTATGGTCTCTTTTCTCTGTCCACAGAATCTTGGGTTCCCAGGCGGGGGGCGGCCGGCAACGCTCGGGGAAAGGTGGCAGGGTCTCTGAAGGAGGCCGCCTCTTGTACTTGGGGCCGTGGGGGGCTGCGGAACCGGGCAGCGCGCACCGAGAGCGGGTTTGGGACTTCCTCGGAACCGTGTCACTGGACGAGGGTCGGAATTCTAGGCTCTAAGCCATCGTCAGATCTGGAGAATCGGGGTCTTGTTTTGGGATAGTGAGTTAGACTGAAAGGCACCACGCCTTGACCTTGAGCTGACAAGCAGGAGAACCTCCTTTACTGAAAAATTGTCTCTAGAGAGAATACCAGGGCCAACACACCTTATCTGATCTGCTAATTTTCGAGGATGAATTACTTAAACGTTTCCCTTTACGCATTACTAAAAGATTTAAAAATGTAATCTGATGTAAAAGTTAAATGAAAAATTTTATTTTTACAACTCAGCTGTCTACTTTGATAGAAGAAATCCTAGAATTAAAAGATAGTAAGGGGAAAAAAAGATAGTAAGGGCTCAGCTTTAGAGAACCTTTTAAATCTTGATGAATTTCTGTAATTTATTTCAGTTATATTTCCTTTATTATCAGGCTTTTAGGTAGTACCTGTTCACAACTTGTTTTATAATTTACGTGAATTAAAAGATATAATGACAGTGTCAGAGCTGTTAGAGACTTTGGAGATGATTTATCACCCTTATTTTCTAGGTGAAACTTAAATGTGAAAGAAAAAGTGACCTTTGCCCTCTACTTTCTAAGAAGTACTCATGGGCATAGAAATTCCTTAAAATGACTTGACTTAGATTTTACAACCCCCTTAATATCAGACCTGGGGTTAAAACCCAAGTAATCTTGCCTCTATCTAGTCCAGTGCTCATGGACTCCTTTAGGCCTTGAAGCCGTCCTCTAAACCGGAAAGCTGATGCAGTAATCTTTCAAAAAAATTTTTTGCTCTGATTAATAATATGATGAATTAGGGTTGCCAGTTAATCAGGCACAATTTCCTAAACCTGCTGCAAATAATATAACATAAAGGGACATGTCGTAGAGTCCTATTTTATATCAACATAGCAAGTTAGTGCAAATTGGTTTAGACATCTGAGCTATCAAATAAAGAACAGACAGCCCTGGAACAAAAAATATGGCTCACGAGACTGGTTTCTTTCATTTCTTTTTATTGTTAACATTTTACTTATTTGCTTTCTCTTTCAGACATTTTTTTTTTTTTTTTGCTGAACCACTTAAAAGTTGCAGACATCATGACCTTTAACCCTATTTTCTTCAGTATGTATCTCCTTAAGAACATACTTTCATTTCTTTTTATTGTTAACATTTTACTTATTTGCTTTCTCTTTCAGACATTTTTTTTTTTTTTTGCTGAACCACTTAAAAGTTGCGGACATCATGACCTTTAACCCTATTTTCTTCAGTATGTATCTCCTTAAGAACATACTTTTACATAGCCACAATATGATTATCACACATAAAGAAGATAACATATTCAAATTTCTCTGATTATCCCAAGAAGCCTTTAACTAAAAAGTGGTTTTTTTAATTCATGATCCAAAATTCACAACTCTTTAGTCTTGTATTCTAGAATAACCCTTTCTACTCCTTTTCCTTTAACTTTAATTTTAGAAAAGACCAGTCGTCTTATACATTGTCCCACATTGTGGATGTTCCTAATTGTTCACTCATGATCAGAGTCACATCAAACATTTCTGGCAAGAATACCACATAGGTGTACCACACTGGTTAAGGTGGTGACTGACAGATCTCCTAGTGTTAAGGGAAAGTTTTCTTTTTGTGTAACCTATGAAATGCTTTGATACTACAATGGATATATCCTGTTTGCCAACAACCTATCACCCTGTAGTTTTTTTATTTATTCATGAATCTTGCTTGAATCACAAGATTTCCAATTACCAGTACCAGTCATGCTGAACCCAAGATCAATTATAGTGACAGTGGCTAAGGACCTCAGAAGAATCACTTACTGTAAACTAAGTTTGAACAAAATTAGAAATTTGACTGCAGACATGGTACAAATCTGCATATAATTCTGAAGACTAAATAGAGGGTATCTCCCCATCACAGCCTATTTTCTTTTTTTAATACTCAGAAATTTCAGAGAATTATTGGTCCTTGTGTGTTCACCTGAACATATATATTACCTGGAAAAATAGGATATTAAGTATTTTTTTAATACATAATAACACATTTGCTAAAGAACTGTAACCTCAAACAGACTGAGAAAACTAATTTCACTTGTTGAAAAGGAAGAGGCTTTTCAAAAAATATGATTTAGCCAGCAGAAATTCAGGTTTCATCAAACACGTAGAGCATAAAGAGGGGCCTCAGCAGTCATATTGTAATCCCTTCCTTTTTCAGGTAAGAAATCAGGCCTTACTGGAGACATTCAAGCAAAGATTGGACAACTCCTTTTCCAGAACAGAAAGGAAACCCATGCATCAAGAAAGGTTTGAGCTTGATGACTAACATCTCTTTTTACTCTTAAGTTCCCTGGTTTTATGATACATTTTGACACAAAAATTTCTTAGCATTGCTATAATCATTCTTAAGACTCCTTCCCTCCTTCTCCAGGTTTAAAGCATATAACCAGAGGTATCGCCTTGGTTGGATATTTGCCTCTACAATAACAAATATTTGCTTGTAGTAAAAGGTAATTAGGACCAAATAAAAGACCCACTCCAGTATTCTTGCCAGGAGAATCCCATGGACGGAGGAGCCTGGTGGGCTACAGTCCACGGGTCACAAAGGGTCGGACACAGCTGAGCGACTTGACTTCACTTCATATTGCTTCTACTTCTCACTATCAGGTGGTTTGTGTGGCTGTTGGACTTGATCAATTAGCATAACTAATGATTAAATAACTGGAAAATAGAATGCTGGAAGACTTAGGTCAGACCCAAGCTAGCAAGTAAATTAAAAATCATTTATTCACTCCATCATCTCAAATATTTTCTAGGAACAAGTTCCTTCACTTAGGTATACCATAATCTTGATACTGGAAAATATATAATTGAATGATTCTAGAGAAAAGGAGATCATAATGTTAACACAGTGGTCTTTGAGTGCTAGAAACATTTTTTTTTTAGTTTCTAAATTCTCAAGAAATATTTTATTACTGTTGAAGTAAGATAAACTATTTCATTTTAAGGAGATGTACTATTAAGGACTGTATATTAGAAGACAGTACCAAGAACAAGTAATATTTGGGGGTGTTCCTAATCTGTATCTCTTCAAAGACTTCACAATAACAATCATCATTTGTCACTATGAATTATATATGAAAGGGGAGGTGATAAGGAGTCAGCACAGTGTTACCAGCTTTTGAAACTGACACAACATTTAAAGATTTCATACTTTCTGCCTCTCTGACCTCTGCCTGATAAAATCACATGTGAATTTTAAACTGAAGAAATACTGGGATAGTAATAAAAACTGATTTGGGCATTATAATTTGCAAACTTGTAAATTTAAGTTCTCACAAAACAAAGGTTTCATTTAACACCTATCCACAGAAGTCATCTTACCAGTTTTCAGGCTGCTTTAGGAGTAGGAAGCCAAAAGAACTCTGGTTCTGATCATTTGCTAACATTTACTACACTGCACACTGTATCTTATTCTTGGGCAGGGAGTAGAAAGCTTGGAAACCTTGAACTTGGAGATTATTGTAGATTCACATACAGTTGTAAGAAAAAAAATACGTTACCCAGCCTTCCACAATGGTAACATCTTACAAAAGTATAGTACAATATCACAGCCAGGATACTGATACTGATACAGTAAAGATGCAGAACATTTCCATTTCCTTGAAGTCTCACATGTTGCCTTTTTATAGTAACACCTACTTCCCTCCTCCTCCAGCCCCTCCTCAACCCCTGGCAACCACTAATAAGTTCCCTATTTCTATTATTTTGTCATTTCAAGAATGTTATATAAATGGAATCATATCATATATGACCTTCTGGGACTGGCCTTTTTCACTTAGTGTAATTCTTTTAGTTTCATCCAGGCTATTGATGTCTCAGTACCTCATTCCTTTTTATTGCTGAATAGTATTCTATGGTATGGGTGTATCAGTTTGTTTAATCATCTACCTGTTGAAGAATATCTGGATTGCTTCCAATTTTTGACTATTATGAATAAAGTTTCTATAAACATTCATGTGCAGGTTTTTGTGTGAATATAAGTTTTCATTTCTTTCTGAAAAATGCCCAGGAGTGCAATTGCTGGGTCATATGATAGTTGTATCGGAGAAGGCAATGGCAACCCACTCCAGTACTCTTGCCTGGAAAATCCCATGGATGGAGGAGCCTGGTGGGCTGCAGTCCCTGGGGTCTCAAAGAGTCGGACACGAAGGAGTGACTTCACTTTCACTTTTCACTTTCATGCATTGGAGAAGGAAATGGCAACCCACTCCAGTGTTCTTGCCTGGAGAACCCCAGGGACGGCGGAGCCTGGTAGGCTGCCGTCTATGGGGTTGCACAGAGTCGGACATGACTGATGCAACTTAGCAGCAGCAGCATTCATCATCTATATAATCTTTTTGGTGAAATGTCTTTTGAATATTTTCTAATTGGATTATTTGTGTTTTTACTAGAGTCTGCAGGCTTCTTTATGTTGTCTGGTTATTAGTTACCAGTCAGATATGTAGTTTGCTTTTCATATGAAGTCTAACAATTCTTTTCTCTAAAGCCCCAAGATTTTCTTCTATCTTCATAAGTTTTCATAGTTTTATGTTCTATATTTAAGTCCCAAATCTATTTTGAGGTAATTTTCATATAAAGTGAAGGACTTGCTTTGAGGTTAAATTTTCTGCCTATGGATGTACAGTTATCCCAGCACTATTTGTTGGAAAAGCTATCTTCACTTAACTGCTTTTGCACCTTGACCAAAAATCAGTTGGGCTTGTTAGTGTGACTATTTCTAATTCTCTGTCCTGTTCCGTTGATCTATGTGTCAGCTTTTCCACCAATACCGTATAATATTAATTACTATAGCTATGTAGTTAAGTCTTGAAATCAAGCAAACTGATTCTACTTATTATTTTTTTGAATTTAAGTCCATTTGCTTTCCATATAAATTTAAAACTAATCTTGTTTATATTTACAATAAATGTTACTGTGACCATGACAGGAATTGCATTAAGCCTGTGTATCAATTTTGGGAAAATTGACATCATTACTATGCTGAGTCTTCCATTCCATGAACACAGTGTGTCTGTCTCTCCATTTAAGTCTTTGATTTCTTTCATCAGCATTTTATAGTTTTCAGCATACAAGTCTTATAGATGCTTTGTCAGATTTACCCTTAAATCTTTTTTGAATGATTATAAATGGCATTCTGTTTTTCAGTGTCCATTTATTCACTGAAAGTATATAGAAATACAGTTTTTGCATGTTTATCTTATACCCTGTGATCTTGCTAAACTATTTTGTTTTAGGAGTTTCTTTGTAGATTCTTTGGGGACTTTGGGATTTTCTATGTTCACAATCATGCCATCTGCAAAGAGGGAGAGTTTTATTTTCTTCCTTTACAGTGTGTATGTCTTATTCCTTTTCTAGAATTACTGCACTAGGTAGAACTTCAAGCAGTATGTTGGATAAGAGTATTAAGGGCAGACACCTGGCTTTGCTCACTATCTTAGGGCAAAGTATTCAGTTTTTCACCATTAACTGTGTAGTGTAGGGTGTAGGATTTTTTGTAGGCGTACATTACCAAGTTGAAGAAGTTCCTCTCTTTTCCTAATTTTCAGAGTTTTTATCATGAATGGGTACTGACTTTATCAAAAGTTTTTTCTGCATCAATTTATAAGATCATATGACTTATTTTTTCATCTATTAAAATGGTGGATCATACTTACATATTGGTGGATTATATTTGCTATTGTTAAGGATTTTTATTTCTATTTTTTACATCTATTTTATGAAGATATTTTTCTGTAGTTTTCTTGTATGTACCATCTTGTCTAGTTTTAATTATTAGGATAATACTAAATTCATGAATAAGTTGTTAGATCTGTGTATATAAAGTTGTTCATAGTTCTGTTCTTTTGAATCTGCAGGGTTTATATTACCATATCCTGTTTTATTCCTGATAATGATAATTTGTGACTTCTTCTCTGTTAGTCTTGCTGGAGGTTTGTCTGTTACAGTCTTTTCAAAGGACCATCTTTGTTTCATTGATTTTTGTTTGTTGCTTTGTTTTCATTTTCACTGATTTCTGTTCTTTATTATAATTTTCGTCCTTCTACATACTTTAAGTGGGTTGCTCTTTTTCAGGTTCTTGAGGTTAAAAGAAAATAAAAATAGACTGTTGATTTGAGACAGTTCCCTTTTCTTTATTTACTTATTTGGCTGTGCTGGGTCTTAGGTGCAGTGGCGGACTCAGTAGTTGCAGCACACTGGCTTAGTTGCCTTGCAGCTTATGGGATCCTAGTTCCCCTACCAGGGATCAAAACCCACATCCCCTGCACTGGGAGGCAAATTCTTAACCACTGGACCACCAGGGAAGTTGCATGAGACATTTCCTCTTTAATATATGCATTCAGTACTACAAAATTTTCCTCTTGGCACCGATTTAGCTGGGTCACACAAATTTTAGTATGCTATATTTTAGTTTAATTAAATTCTTGAGAGTTCCTCTTTGATTCATGGATTATTCATAAGTGTATTGTTTATATTCCAATGTTTGGAAATTTTCCTGTTATCTGGTACTGGTTTTTCTAGTTTGATTCCATGTGGTCCAAGAACAGACTATGTACGATTTCAGTTCTTTTAAATTTATTGAGGGTACTTTACAGCTGAGGATATGGTTTATATTGGTATATGTTCCAAGGGCACTTGATTTAAAAAACTGTGTATTCTGTGGTATTACGTGAAATGTTCTGTAAATGTAGATTGTATCCTATTGGTTAATGGTGTTGTTTTTTATAGCCTTGTGGATTTTGTCGAGTTATTTTATCAATTGATGGGAGAGGGTGGTTTAAATCTGCAACTATACTTGCCTTTTTCTCCTTTCAGTTCTTTCCATATTTTGCAGCTCTGTTGCTTAAGGCACACATATCTAGGAGTACTGTATCTTCTTGATGGATTGACCTTTAATGTCCTTTTCTGTCTCTGGTAAACTCCTTTGCTCTGAAGTCTACTTAATCTAGTATTAATATATCCACTATTTCCTTTGGATAAATGTTTGCATGGTAAATCTTTTTCCATCCTTTTGTTTTCACTCTGTATCAGGAGTCCGTTTCTTGTAGACAACATATATTTTATCATTTCTCTAATCCACTCAGCCAATCTGTCTCTTGATTATTTACACCAGTTATATTTAATCTAATCACTTATTAAGGCTGAAATTTGTTTTGTTTGTTCTAGTTTCTCTTACCTTACTGTGGGTTATTTGAATACTTTCTGGAATTTGTTTTTATTAATCTAATGTTTTGAGTGTTATCTCCTTATGTTGTTCTCTTTTAATGCTTGCTCTAGGTATTAAATTAGATATACAGAGCTTACCATAGTCTAATGATGTCAGCATATTACTAGTTTCAGTGAAGTAAGGAAGCCTTGCTTCCCTTTACTTTCCCACTTATTTTGTTGTTCTTCAGTCGCTCAGTCGTGTCTGATCCTTTGTGACCCCATGGACTGCAACATGCCAGGTTCCCTGTCCTTCAGTATCTCCTGGAGTTTCCTCAAATTCATGTCCATTGAGTTGGTGATGTGGTCTAACCATCTCATCCTTTGCCTCCCCCTTCTCCTTTTGCCTTCAGTCTTTCCTAGCATCAGGGTCCAAATAAGCCAGCTCTTCACATCAAGTGGCTAAAGTATTGGAGCTTTAGCTCTGGCTTCCAATGAATATTCAGGGTCAATTTCCCTTAAGATTGACTGGCTCGATCTTTTTGCAGTCCAAGGAATTCTCGAGTTTTCTCCATCACTACAGTTTAAAAACATCAGTTCTTCAGCACTCAGTCTTCTTTATGGTCCAGCCCTCACACCTGTACAGGACTACTGGAAAAGTCATAGCTTTGACTGTACAGACCTTTGTTGGAAAAGTAATTTTTCTGCTTTTTAATACACTGTCTAGGTTTGTCATAGCTTTCCTTACAAGGAGCAAGTGTCTTTTAATTTCATTTAGAACCACATCAGACAGTTTTATACTTTTTGCTTCAACTGTCAAATATAATTTAGGAAACTCAAGAAGGGAAATGTACTGTACTTACTCTTTCTTCCTGTGTTGTTCCTCCTTGATGTTCCAAGTCTCCTTTTATAATCTCGTTTCTGCTTAGAACTTTAATTCTTTTCAGGCAGGTCTCCTGGCAATGAATTCTCTTCGTTTTCCTTTGTTTGGGAATGTCTTGATTTCACCTTCATTCCTGAAGGGTATTTTGGCCAGATTCAGGTTTCTGGGTTGACTGGTGAGAAATCTGCTATCATCCTAATAGTTTATCCCCTATAGATAAGATGTCTCTTTTTCTCTTGCAAATTTCAAAATTTTTTGTCTTTAGTTTTTAAATGTTTGTCCATGATGTACCTTAATGTGGATTTCTTTGTAGTTACGTTTTTTGGAATACAATTTAGTTCTTGAATCTATAAACTTCTTTTGCCAAATCTGGGAGGTTTTCAGCCACTATTTCTTGCAGTACTTTAACAGCCCTGCTCCTCTTTCTCTTCTTCCAGGACTCTAATAAAACAAATGTTAAATCTTTTGGTACAATCATACAGATCCCTGGTACTCTCTGCATTTTTTTCATTCTATGCAATATTTTTTGGTTATTCAGATTGGATAATTCTGTTTTCTGTCTTCCTTCACAGATTCTTTCCTCTATTCCCCCATTCTCGTTCTGCTGTTGATTCTGTCTGTTGAGCTTATTTGGGGCTTTTTCCCTTTCATATTTTTCACTTTTTGCTGAGCTTTATATTTTCTTCAATTGTTTTAAACATTCTTAATTGTTCATTGAAGCAGTTTTTTTATAATAGCTGCTTTTACATCTTTGTCAGATAATTCTAGTATCTCTCATCTCAGTGTTGGACTTTTATTTTTTGAGATCTTAGTTCTTGGTATGAGGTTTTTTCTTTATAACATGGAGATTTTGCATCTTGTATTTTGAGACTAAATTTTTTTAAGCTTTCTCTTATAGCTGGCTGCTCTGACACTACTTCATTGGGAGAGGAGGGCATCTCATTACTGCCAGGTGAAGGCCGAAGTGCAAGTCCCTCACTCTCACTTGAGGGGTGTGTGTGTTTCAGGCATTTGAGGAATGTTCCTCATTTCTGCTGGTGAGGGTGGCTAGGCTTTCACTGGTGCCTCCCTGGCTGAGAGGGACTGGAGCGCCTCACTACTACTCCCCTAATAGCCTCCACTGACACCCCAGGAGGGTGTGTGCTCATTACCATGGGGCAGCAGGCAGGTCCTGAGTCTCAGCTAGGGCTCCTTTGATACCACCCCAGGGGGAAGGGCGAAAGGTATTTCATCACTGACAACTGAGATGGGAGGCTCCCCATGCAGTTTCCACTGACACTTAGGGGGCGCAGTCCTTATTAATGCCCAGTGAGAATTAAAGCCCTTGTTCCCTAATAACCCTTCTCTGATGCCACTCTGGTGTGGGAGTTGGAGTGTCTTTTTACAGAGCCTGGTGAGGGTAGAAGTCTGCCTGGCATATGCTGATTTGGGTAGAGATGAGTACCACAGTTTTTTCTGTGCTGGCCTGGAGTGCAGCAGTTATTGTTTAAAAGTTTTCTGTTTTACAGGCTTCCCCGTTCCTAGCCCTTTGGTGAAGATAAGCTTTTGGCTGGGGGTAGGGAAGGGCTTTTTGACTCTCCCCATTGGCATTTGCTAATTGCCAGCTTCTTCAGTTCAACTTTGTGATATATGAGACCCAAAAATGGGGGAGAATTCCCGACTGTGCTGTTTCTCAAATCCCAATGGCCCTAGCTAGTATACTTTCTTCTAGAGTCTGTTTGTTTTATGTGTAATGTCCAGGGGTTTAGTTTTACTTAGTGAGACAAATAGCAAAAAGCACATCTACTTCATCCTCCCAGAAGCACAAATCCTAAACCTCATTGTATGATATATTAACAGAATCCTCTCTTTCTTTGACTGGTTAGTGATATTATATAGCAGTCATGAAGTGCACCTTACCTCAGAAGTATGGCTGGTTTCATAACTAGCACAGTACTTGGTACATAAATGTTTACTGAGTGATTATCTACCAATATCTACCCACATCTATCTAGCAAAATTGTAACTGTTAAGATCTCAAACTAAAAAAAGTATGAAGTTTATATTAGAAAATGATGTAATCATTAGGTTTGGGTTTCTATTGTGTCCCATAGTTGGAGGGTATAAAATCAGTGTTTCATGACTTAAGTGAGCAAAGAGTAACTATAATGGAAGTATCTTACCTGGAACATAACAATCATGATAGTCACAGCAATACCTGAAAAGTTGTGACCTTTAGTTAATTCCTGGTATTTTTCATGTAGTTTATGTAGTTAAAATATATATATCATTTATAAAGCTGTAAAATAAAATAGGAATAAAGAACATTCTTGATAACTTTTTAGGTGTTTATGGAACACTGGGTTGCCTGAATGTTGGGCTAATCTAAAACCGCTACTGCATTGTTTGTAGCAGATACCAAAGAGTTTTTGTAGAAAAGATAGTTTATATTATGTCACTGCTAAACCAAAGATTCTCTAAAATACAGTACAGTTGGACTTTTGGAATAAGACTAGGCTAGTAAATAGAAGAGAACTGGTGCTTCCCCTTGCATGTGGAAAAGATAACTTTTTAAAAATGGCAGTAATACTCATGAACATACAGGACAGGGACAAAAGAGGAGGGAAGACTAAATGCAAAACAGGGAAAGTTTCATACATGGTTGGGAATGCTGGAATGGAATTACCATTGATTGCATTTGTTATTCAAAATGAGAATTTTTTTCACAGTATTAGCTAAGAATGTTATACATATCCGGTTTTATCTTTTTTGTATTGGTTACCAGAAAACTCAAAGCTAAATATAATACATATAAATTGTTAGTTTGCAGTATACAAAATTAGCATGTGTTTTTTCTTCCTTTACATGATGTTTCTGTTTTAAACAGCTTTGTTTCATACAAATCTTTTATATATTTCATCTGTTTTAGAACTAGCCAGGATAGAATAAGTAATGTGATACATTCCTGTGTCAGAATTAACTGAGCCTGTGTCCTTCCTTTAGGATATGTGAAAATCCCAGTAATTCAGAAAGGCTCTTTGACTTCCTTATCTTCACTTCTCTGTTGCCCCCAAGTTAGATCACAAGTGTCATATATTCAGAAGTTTCTGGTAGGTCTTAAGTAGATGGTGTTTGTAAAAAGGATCTTTAATAGCAGAGATCCAAGCTGTGTTAGCAACCAGTGGAAGAGTTAACTTAAGTACTTATAGAGAGACACCAGAGATTTCTTTGTCATAAAACTCTACTATGAATGGGGCTTTAACACATGGCTTTGCAAAGTAACCGAGCAAACTGTCTTAAAATTGGAGACTTGGATATATAGGGATTTGGGGTCTTATAGCTAGCTAACATTAAAAAATTAAATTCTAAACTGTAAGGTTCTTATTAATAACCTGGGAAATTGGGAGGCATGGCATATAATTATGTAATCAGTTAGAAATCTATAAAATTTGAACAGTAATTTCAAGTAGACTTGTTTCAGTTCTATTTCATAATCTATTCTTGTTTTTATTACCTTCAATTACCCTAAAAACATTTGTATACAGACTGACAAAACTTTTTACTTTTAAATCAGGTGACTAATAACGTACCAAAAGAATATGGCTGCACAAATACCAGAATCTGATCAGATAAAACAGGTAAGGTAATATAATTAAGGAAAAGGGATTTTGCAAAACATAAAGGCATTAGTGAATACAACCATGTCAGTCAGTGATCTCACAAAATATTTATATTTCATTTCCACAGATGGATATTAAATGATATGAAGCAAATTTTTCAGATAGTTTGAAAGATAATCCAGGAAAGGATAAATATTCAACTAGAAAATCTGACTATATTTTGTAGATCATATTATACCCATTGAAGGTAGTAAAAGAACCTTTCAAGTATTACAGGATATTTTGCCTAGATACATCAGTATTTAAAACATTTGTTTTAAAAACCTGTTATTAAAGAAACTTCTGATTTGTTTATAGTTTAAAGAATTTCTTGGAACCTACAATAAACTTACAGAAACCTGCTTTTTGGACTGTGTTAAAGACTTCACAACAAGAGAAGTAAAACCAGAAGAGGTATGAAAACGGTTGCCCAGTTTTCTCTAAGGTCATCTTAAATTCTCTAAGGTCATCATAAACAATATAAAGGGGATGCCCCTAAACATTTTGCTTGTTCCTAGTTATTATAGGAATTTAGGCTGTCTTTTTTTTTAATTGAAGGATAATTGCTTTACAGTATTTTGTTGTTTTCTGTCAAACCTCAACATGAATCAGCCATAGGTATACATATATCCCCTCCCTTTTGAACCTCCCTCCCATCTCCCTCCCCATCCCACCCCCTAGGTTGATACAGAGCCCCTGTTTGAGTTTCCTGAGCCATACAGCAAATTCCTGTTGGCTATCTATTTTACATATGGTGATATAAGTTTCCATGTTACTGTTTCCATACATCTCACCCTCTCCTCCCCTCTCCCCATGTCCATAAGTCTATTCTCTATGTCTGTTTCTCCACTGCTGTCTTTTAAATAAATTCTTCAGTACCATTTTTCTAGATTCCCTATATATGCGTTAGAATACAGTATTTATCTTACTCTTTCTGACTCACTTCACTCTGTATAATAGGTTCTTGGTTATTCGCCTCATCAGAACTGACTTAAATGTGTTCCTTTTTATGGTTGAGTAATATTCCATTGTGTATATGTACCACAACTTCTTTATCCATTCATCTGTTGATGGTCATCTAGGTTGCTTCCATGTTCTAACTATTGTAAATAGTGCTGCAATGAACAATGGGATATGTGTGTCTTTTTCAGTTTTGGTTTCCTCAGGGTATATGCCTAGGAGTGGGATTGCTGGGTCATATGCTGGTTTTATTCCTAGTTTTTTAAGGAATCTCCATACGGTCTTCCATAGTGGCCGTATCAATTTACATTCCCACCAACAGTGCAAAAGCGTTTCCTTTTTTCTACACCCTCTCCATCATTTATTGTTTGTAGACTTTTTGATGATGGCCATTCTGACAGGTGTGAGGTGATATCTCTTTGCAGTTTTTGATTTGCATTTCTCTAATAACAAGCAATGTTGAGCATTTCTTCATGTGTTTGTTAGTGAATTTAGGCTATCTTTTATATGTTCCATTGCTCAAAGGAACTTAAACAGCCAAGGACACTGTGGCATTGAGTTGAATGATATCAAATTTAATATCACAGCCACACTGAACTATGGCAGACTTTTTAAAGAGAAGATGCCTGGGACTTGCTGAATATTGTTCCACAGCAGAGATTCTTATTTTTTTTTTAATTGGAGGCTAATTACTTTATAATATTGTAATGCTTTTTGCCATACATTGACACGAATCAGCCATGGGTATACATGTATTCCCCAAAGATTCTTACTAATTAGCTTTTAGTCAAGATGCGCTTGCTAGAGAAACTTGACACAGCTCTCCTATCTGACTGTGAGAACTCAGGTTAATTTTGGAAAAAGCAGAGCTTGAATCTGATGGTTCATATTGCATAGATGGACTCTGAAATCCCAGTTCCAAATCTTAACTTTTAATAATCTCTTCAAAACACTTACGTATTTGCTAAAAGTGACATAAACTTCCTCCAGTGGAAGATGCTGATGAATTTTCATGCCAAGAACTTAACATATTAATATAACCAACAATCCAATAAGTGTTTGTTAAATAAATGACAAAGTTTGAGAGATGCTAAGTAAAATAGTCTTATTAAAAAGTAAAAAGTTGAAAATTAAGAATGCTAAGAATGGGGAATTCGCTGGCAGTCCAGTGGTTAGGACTCTATGCTTTCACTGCTGACAGTCTGGGTTCAGTCCTGCTCAGGGAACGAAGATCCCACAAGCCGCACCACATGGCCAAAATTATAATAATAACAACACTGAGAATGGACTTTCTCATTAAAAAGGAACAAACCTGCTACTAGACCTACATTTTGACAGTCAGAATAACAGATGGGAATGTGGAATTTCACTTACTACTGAAACATATCTACAGAAAATCTAGTCCGGAAGGCAGGGACTTACCATTGTTTTTAGTACCTACAAACTAGTAAGCATTCAGTATGTACTAATTTTAATAAATAAATGAAGGTATTAACAGTTGAAAGCTATGATCACTTGTGACTTATTGATACCATTTAATTCTCAAACATATTCGAAGAAAGAAAAGTACCCACTAGTTATTCTTTTAGAATATGTGCAATATTTTTAATTAATATTTTTGTGTTACCTCTTGGGTCTTTTTATTTCTAGACTACCTGTTCAGAACATTGCTTACAGAAGTACTTAAAAATGACTCAACGAATATCTATGAGATTTCAGGAATATCATATTCAGCAGAATGAAGCCCTAGCTGCCAAAGCAGGACTCCTTGGCCAGCCACGATAGAGAAGTCCTAACGGATGGACTTTTGATGAAAAATTGCCAACAGCTATTGCACTGGAAATGAGGATTCACCTGATGGAATCCTCTAAAAGCAGTAGCCACCATGTTAAACCATCTGTCATGACTGGCAAATGGAAACAACTGGAGAAACAAAATTGTTATATACAGGAATAATCAAAATAGAAGGTCTTATTGTTCAATGAAAATAATAAGATGCAACACTTGTTGAGGCCTTCAGATTCAGCAGCTTGGTCACTTGATTAGAAAAATAAACCATTGTTTCTTCAATTGTGACTGTTAATTTTAAAGCAAAATATCATGTATGAGATAGAAAAAATTTTATTACTATAAGTAAAATAAATGGAAATATCACTGAGCAGTTGTTTATACTATATAATTCCATAGCATTCTGACTGGACTGTGGATACGTTGAAGTGTTTTTCAATCACGATCATCCTCCAAGTATTCCTGTTCATTCATGTCTGCCTCAAATTGCTGGTAAATACATAAAATAGTTACTTGCTAATCATTTTAATGCATGATCCTTTTCTTGCCTCCCTTCTTGTGTCAGGGTGGGCACTACACATTCTTATCCTAGCTACATTTTCATATATCTTTAGGAAACATTCCATCTGACACCAGCTTGGCAATGTTTAAGAGTTGATTATTGTGCTTTAGTGGAGACTGTTGCTTTGCATTTTGTTTAAAAGCTGAGAATCCACCATGAATGATTCCAAGTCAGACCAACAGTATATAGTATATTCTCAGCTACTGCATGTGATCAATTGTAATAAAAAGTAAACCAAAGTTAAAGTAGCATCTTAGAGCCAAACAATTCCAAGCATTTGCAGGAAATTCTAATCGATGTATAAGTACACACAGCAGTTTATCATCAAATGAAATTCATTCATAAGCCAGTTGTTTAATAGGTATCAGTCCATTTACAAATATAAACCTGTAATTAAGAGAATACTAACTAGCCTATATGTTTAAATTTACCAAAGTGATTTCTGTGTTTTGTCATATTGGAAAGTAGAAGTATTACTCTGCTTCAATAATTTACAGTTTTCTATATTCATTCTATAGGCCATTAGGTCATTTATCTAAAAATACCACTTATAAAGGCCTCTGTTGACACTGCAGTCAGTCAATAACAGTGATGTCTTTGAAAGTACAAAGATAAACAATGTTAACTTTAAAGTTGAAATGTTGAAACATGTATAATACTCAACAAAATATACAATCCATCATAGTCAAAGGAACATGAAAAGAAACTTGTTTCATCTTAAGCAAACACAAATTCAGAGATGTTACTCACTTAAAACTTGGGGTCATTCACACACATACTTTGCTATTTTTATCTAATCAAGCCCAACATGGTTATTTAGTGTTCATTTAACAAAGGTAAATATGTGCTTACCTGGCAAATAAGGGGAATTTTGTGCAATAGCATCTCAAATACCTTGGGAGGAAGTGTGTGTTTGAAAACTTTCAGAAGTTCCTGTGGTTGCCCACACACCAAAAGGGCATTGCTGAGATGTTCAACACCCATTCGATGCTCTCCTAAATAGATTGATAAGTTTAGAGCAGAATTTTAAAGTATATTCTACATTCTAGAATAAAGTATATTCTATATTCTACATATATTCTACAAATTATCAAGAAAGCACCAAGCATTAAAACTACAAAAGCATATCAAACTAAAGACTATGAACAAGTCTCAAAAAGAATAAATAGTATAAACAGGGAAATGCTGAGCTGCCTATTAGATTCATTATGATCAGGCTGCAGTGTGAATAACTTTCTGACCCAAATTACCATTTAAAAGTGCACTCTTGAATTGGAAATGTTCATGTTATGCAATTTGGATATGCAAGAGGGAATATTGAGTTATTTTAAAAAGGCTGGTGTCTGTCATTAGTGACAGACATATGTGGTTGATGAAATATTACAGATGAAACATCTTGATGTCCTAGTTAAATGAGACTTTTGCACAATAGACTGTATTATTAAAGAGCTGAAACATGATTTAGTATTACCATGAATTATGTATCTAGGGGAAGACAGATGAGTTTTAGGATGACTGGTTATAAAATAAGAATGAAAATTTGTGAAGAGTGGAAATTAATGATAGGACTTTAAGTTAAAACATGTAATCAGTTAGTCTCACTACCTCATTTTAGGAAAATCAGGCAAAGAACAGTGAAATAATTTAAGGTTTCAAATCTAATTAATGCCAGAATTAATGCACCTAATTTTCTGAACCTTGAGACTACAGTGTGCTGCCTCTCCTTCACATGTTATGTAATAACAGAAGTTGAAATTTTGAAATATTTAATATAACTAGGAAACACTTTGTATCAAACCCTTGAAAGAAAAAGCAATAATAGTGACTGCTCTTAAGTTGATGGAGCTAACATAACCCCAAAACCTAATCAATTTGGTTAATTAGATCAACCAACGATTAAATCCAATCAAATTAGCTAATCAGACGTTTCTATTGAGGGACTTCCTGGTGGTCCAGTGGCTAAGAAGTTTCTATTGAAATTTTTGGCTCTGTGGTCCCTCTGATGACATAGACATAAACACAACAGGTAGTTACAGAACTTCCTGTCTGCAAAGTAGTGAAAACTGGGTTGGCAGTGGTGGCAGAAGTGACAAGAAAACATTACAGAAACTGGCTAAAAATTACTGCATTGGAACAGTGTTTCTCAACCAGTGTGTTGTAATAGCCTAGGGACGTTTAAAGAATAATAATTTATATATATCTGGAGAAAACCATAATTTGAAGAGATACATGGACCCCATTGTTCACTACAGAGTTGTTTACCAAGACATGGAAGCAACCTAAATGTCCATCGACAGATGAATGATAAATAAGATGTGGTACATATAAACAATGGAATACTACTCAGCCATAAAAACAAACAAAACAATGCCATTTGCAGTGACATGGATGGACCCAGAGATTATCATACTAAGTGAACTAAGACAGAAAGACAACTATACTATCATATCACTAACATGGAATCTAAAAAAATGACACAAATGAACTTATTTACAAAACAAATACACTCAAACAGAAACCAAAGTTATGGTAACCAATGGGGAGAGACAAATTAGAAGTTTGAGATTAACTTAACACACACTGCTAAATACAAAATAGATAACCAATAAGAGAACTGTAGGGAACTATACTCAAAACCCTATGAGAGAAAAAATCTGAAAAAGAATATATGTATAACTGAACCACTGTGCTGTACACTCAAAAGTAACACAACATTGTAAACCAATGCTACTTCAATTAAAAAAAAAAAAAATTTGACACTGGGTCCTACCCCAGAAATTCTTATTTAATTGGTTTTTGGTTTGGTGGGGATTTAAAGAATAAGCAACCAATGAGAATTTTAGAAATAGAGTAGAAGTATATAACCCTAAAAGTGCTAATTATTTTAGGGGCTCACAGAAATAATGTTATCGTCCTGGAGAGAAAAAGTTAAAAACTCAGGTTTGCAACTTTTGTCATCATCTCAATATTTGTAATATTCACCTCTATATCTAACTATTACATGATAGTTCTTAAAGTAAATAAAAATAAAATAAAATTATTTTTCTTTTGATTTATAATTCATCATTTTCCTATCCATATTTATACTGTCCTAACTCAAAAAAACTGGACATGGAACAACAGACTGGTTCCAAATAGGAAAAGGAGTACATCAGGCTGTATATTGTCACCCTGCTTATTTAACTTATATGCACAGTACATCATGAGAAACACTAGGCTAGAGGAAGCACAAGCTGGAATCAAGATTGCTGGAAGAAATATCAATAACCTCAGATATGCAGATGACACCACACTTAATGGCAGGAAGTGAAGAGGAACTAAAAAGCCTCTTGATGAAAGTGAAAGAAGAGAGTGAAAAAGTTGGCTTAAAGCTCAACATTCAGAAAACTAAGATCATGGCACTCTTGTCCCATCACTTCATGGGAAATAGATGGGAAAAGTGTCAGACTTTATTTTTCTGGGCTCCAAAATCACTGCAGATGGTGATTGCAGCCATGAAATTAAGACGCTTACTTCTCGGAAGGAAAGTTATGACCAACCTAGACAGCATATTAAAAAACAGACATTACTTTGTCAACAAAGGTCCATCTAGTCAAGGCTATGGTTTTTCCAGTGGTCATATATGGATGTGAGAGTTGGACTGTGAAGAAAGCTGAGCGCTGAAGAATTGATGCTTTTGAACTGTGGTATTGGAGAAGACTCTTGAGAGTCCCTTGGACTGCAAGGAGATCCAACCAGTCCATCCTAAAGGAGATCAATCCTGGGTGTTCATTGGAAGGACTGATATTGAAGCTGAAACTCCAATACTTTGGCCACCTCATGCGAAGAGTTGACTCACTGGAAAAGACCCTGATGCTGGGACGGATTGGGGGCAGGAGGAGAAGGGGACAACAGAGGATGAGATGGCTGGATGGCATCACTGACTTGTTGAACATGGGTTTGAGTCAACTCCAGGAGTTGGTGATGGACAAGGAGGCCTGGCGTGCTGCAATTCATGGGATCACAAACAGTCGGACCCAACTGAGCAACTGAACTGAACTGAACTCAAAAAATGTTAAAGGTGAAAGGTTTTTTGTATTTTAATTGTCTCTATATCAAAGGAGTATGTAGGGATTCATCAGATTTATGTGACCCCTAGTTTATGTAATCTGGGGCCCTTATTTTTGGGGGGGGGGCCCTTTTAAGAAAAAGAATATGAAATTAAGAATACAAGGTTGGCAGGAACCTTCCCAGAACCTTCAAAGAAGCCCTTGGAAATGAAAGTCGTTAAAGCTTATGTTTCATCACCTTGTGTAAAATAACTCTTATTTATGTCATTTAAATCAGCTCTAACTATTCATTTTGTCACTAACATTTAACAGACTTTTTAGTCCATTTATAATAATACCTAAAAGAAAATATTTGTACTGAATAAAAGTACTGAAATTTCAAATTATGATTAATATGCAATGCCTTTGAATTGCTGTTTCATTTCTTAAAACATTTAAGTCATTGGATTAAAACATTTAAAACATTGGATTAAAAAAATTCTTGGATATTGCTATGAGTTTTCCAGGATTTTTACTTTTTGCTTTTATAAATCCTGGAGGATGTTACCCTCTAAATGCAGAGTGAAAAAAAGTCTCCAAAAATGACAAAAAAGATAAGCAGAAATAGCTGTAGGCACTGTGATATGCATGGGAATTTGCAACACATGAAAAAAAGACATAAATGGGTGTGGTACTCATTCATCCAATAATATCATGTATGCTTTACATAAGAAGCCTCAAAACAATTTTCCTTTCTAGTGTTAAACACCACAATAAAGACATTACTATATACAATGTTTATAAAATATTTGTATTATCTACCATCATTTTACCTGACAACATTGTGAAGTTTCTCAAATCTATCTTGGTGTATGTGGGGATAAGTCATAATTCAAAATACATTTCATGTTCATTAAGTGCAAGGTACCCCCACAGGTATCATTACACTGAATGATCACTCATAATAATTTTTAATCAAAGTAAGTATTTTATTAAGAATATGCTTTAAAAAAAGAATATGCTTAGGCAGGAAAATTCTTATAAAGAAGTTAATTTTTTTAAAAATTTTGATTCATACAACATTTAGTTATTTGGAAAACTCATTTACTTAGAATTTTATCTGACAGTAAGTAAGGTGTTCTTGTATTTGGCTTTGCTTCTCTCTCTGCCCACTTCCAAGACTGCAACATGAACTTGAATACAGACACTAACAAAGTGGAGTTGGACAGCAATGAAGTGAAAATGCTGGGACAGTTTCTCTTTAACTGAAGCAAGCTGGTTAACACATCTAGCTAGTTAAGTTTTTTGACATAAAAATATCAATCCATAAATATTTCTCAAACATCAGTTATCATAAATAACTGCCTACAAAAGTATGTTTACATTCTTACCTCTGGATAACCAAAGTTCTCCCATTCGTACCTCTTGCAGAAAAAATTCTTGTAATTTTTCATTTTTTGCTGGATCCCACAACTAAAAGAGTCACAGAATATTTAACAATAAGTAACAAATGTAAGGTATATGGTTACTAGTCAAAACTGAGGGCTTCTCTCCTGGCTCAGCAGTGAAAAATCCACCTGCTAGTGCCTGCCTGATGCAGAAGACTCGAGTTCAACCCCTGGGTTCAGAAGATCCCCTGGAGAAGGAAATGGTAACCCACTCCAGTATTCTTGCCTGGGAAATCCCATGAACAGAGGAGCCTGGCAGGTTAACTTGTATTTTAAAAGCACATCTTGAATCTAGTCTCTAAATGCGGAGTATTACAAATGCAGTTGCTCTTTATATTTAAAATAATTTCTTAAAATGGAGTTATGATTTCAGGCAACTAAAAAAAAAAAGCCAAAAAACATGGCAGACAGCGGCTGTGACTTGTCACCATGCACATTTGATGGCCTTCCTAGATGGCACCTTGTTAAACCAGCACACCCACTGTCTGCCAGGCTGCAGCACGGCCAGTTTTATTCTTCAGTTACCCTAATCCTTTGACACCCTGATTACCATCTTACATCAGCTTTTGTACTTTTCCATAGATTTTCATGAGTTATATTGTCATTTAGATCTAACAACTCTGAGAAATAAAGTCAGTAGACTAGGGTAATTTCTTAATTTAGCTCTGGTTATAATTGTAAAAAAGTTGAACCCCACCCTCCTAAAAGAAAAAAAAAAAGAAAAACACGGCATATTCAAGTTTGGTTACGATGCTTATAACAACTTCATATTTTACCCACTATAATCAACTCTAACAAAGGAAGCTTTCTTTGTATGCTGCAAACCTATTCTCTTGCTTAGAGTATTAACACTGCTTGTTGATTTAGCAAAGGGCATGGTGGGGGTTGACAGGGCAATTGGTGATATTCAGAAGGATGCTATGGTTTGCTACAGCCTGTTTCAAGAAAGTGACCAGGTTCACAGGATAGGATCATCACTGGTATTAAGTGAAGAGCTGTCTTTAAAGCTAAAGTGGGCAAACCATGCTCAGAGTATCCACTCCACAGTCACTTCAGCTTAAGTCTTTTATATCTGGAGGGTTTTTGTGTTTGTCTTCCCCAAGAATTCTCTTTTTTAAATAGGATGAACCAACAGATGAGGTCATATTTTAAGCTTTTATCAGCAGATATGCTGATGATCAGTAACAACCACAAGTTTCATTCAAGAGATATTTAGTGAACAAGAGCAGGACACTCTAGGGAGAGCTGGAGAGGGAAGTAGATCTAGACTCCTGTACCCATCCCCACGGAGCCCAGAGTCTAACCAAGAGAAAAAATAAGTATGCCTGAGATCAGTAACACATCAACAACAAAGTCCAGTGTCTTCTGAGGCTCAAAATATTAACACATTCCATTTGGTTGGGAGACCAGGGAAAGTTCCTCAGAAAAGATGGCATTTGAGATGTGGAGAAGCTCAGTGAAAGTCTGATGAAGAAAGAGTATAAGTGGACTTCCCTGGTGGTCCAGTGGTTAAGAATCCTCCTGTCAATGCAGGAGACACAGGTTCAAGCGCTGGTCCAAGAAGATTCCACATGCTGTGGGGCAACTAAGCCCATGCACCACAACTCCCAAAGCCTGCATGCCTAGAGCCTGTCTCTGCAGCGAGAGAAGCCCTCACACTGCAACGAAGAGTGGCTCTCTGCTCCTGGCAACCAGAGAAAGCCCACATGCAGTAACAAAGACCCAGTGCAGCCAAAAAATTAAATGTTTTAAAGAAGAAATCCTGACTGAGTGGTCTAATTAAAAAAAAAAAGTACAATTGACACAAAATTGCAGGGAAAATATCAAGTGATCTTACATAGCTAGATTATAATATGGTGAATGAAGCAACAATGATAAATACCAATTACTGAAGCCCAGTTGTGGACTGAAAGCTTTCCGTATATTATGTCTAATTCCTAGGAAAAGAAGGCTATCTATACAGAAGGCACCCATGGTGCGAGGTCCATGGTGCGAAGCTAAGTGGCTTCATGTTTCATCTGCAGAGTAGGGAGCTACATTACAGAGCTGCAGATTAGAAGGAATTTACTCTGACAGCATAAGAGGTAGTAAGACAGGTTAGGAAATTATCATAATATTCTGTGTAAAAGGTAATAAAAGCCTGAAGTAGTGAAGGAGCAATGGAAACAGAAAGGGAAAAGAGGATGAGATGGTTGTGGGTTTAGTGGCTGAGTCGTGTCCAACTCTTGTGACCCCATAGACTGTGGCCTGCCAGCCTCCTC